GCAGTGTTTACCCCAAACAGCTCTGGCAGGTAGCCTAATGTGTAGAAACACATTATTTTAATTAATCTAAATTATCATTCCAAATAAAAATAAAAACCCTAGTGATGATTTTACTAAAAAAGCAAAAAGAAAATTTTTAGCAGCTTTAGCTTGATAGCTAAGCGCATTAATTATTATTAAGTATCAGTTTTACGCTTGCCTTACTTTTTGTAGCTTCCAGCTAACTCTGATCAGAGCAGCTGTAAAGCCAATAGATGCACAATGATTTATACATGATAAACTAATATGACTTCAGCTAAATCCCCGATAATAGCTAGTTAGTTGGACATGCTAATGATTGCAGCTGAGAATAACTATGGAAAAAGACATTTTTCCGAATGGTTTCAGAACTTAGTGTCACTATTTAAAATTCAGCCACCTGTGAGCATTTGTGCGTGTCATAAGTAGCAATTTAAACACAGTGGAAGTCAGCAAACTGAAGTGTGCCAGCTGGGACGTGCTGAGACATGCATGCACTTTTCCATTGTGTCTCACCTCCTTGAATACGTACATAGAGATGCACATTCAGGAATAACCAAGGTATAATTCACACAGTACATCTGAACGTGAAGATTTATGATTTGTGCCTTTCACACTTTTTAAAACAAAGTGGAACCGCCAGAGAAAAAACAGTCGTACTGTAAATATTACAAAAAGAAGTACTTTAACTCATTTTTACCAGTAATAGGTGAGATGATTTTGTAAATCTGTGGACAGAGTGACGGTGAGAAAGGTTGCCAGTGAGGTGAAAACAGGAAAGGCTGTGTGATTTGTTTCCTAGATTCCCTTATCAGTGTTTGGCTTCAGCCATCCTGACTTCCTGCCCTCCTGGGCTCACTGGCATCTGCCGGCTGACTCCACTGCCCTCACCTTACACTCCAAACACACAGACAAACACACACACATCTGAACTTTGAACCCCGTAGAACACACACACAAGTAGGTGCTGGCTCATTTGCCAGGTCTTTTGTGTCGTTTTCACATGTAGACACAGTCATGCACCGTCTACTTCAGAAGCGCCGTTTCCTCTGTGCTTTACACATCCTTCCTTTCCTTTCCAAGTGACTTTTCCTCAAGAACGCCTCGGTTCTTTTCGTCATAAAACTTTCTGCAAGGTTCTCGACCTTTCAGTCCCGCACTGTTTGGGTTGGAGAGACGTTAAAAAAATGTGATGGGAAACACGAGCACACCGTAAAGAAAAACAGCTGTAATTCACGCAGCCCTTTCTATGGCACATATATGAAAATTCCTTTTATCAAAGTTAATCATCTTTACAAAATTTTTTTCAGGTTTGCTACCAGGGAAAGAAACGCCCTGCTCCTCTACAACGGCAGGTTCAACGAGAAACATGACTTCATCGCCCTGGAGATCATCGGTGAACAGATTCAGCTCACCTTCTCTGGAGGTTAGGCCCTGTAATCCGTGATCGTCTGCTTTTGTGTGTGCGACTGTTGCGTATCAGTTCTCGGCTGCATTATAAGCAGATTAATTCGGCGTAAGTGCGCGCTATCTAAAGTGACTTTTACAGAGACGTAGGTACATAATTCTTATCTATCTCCACTTTCTTTAGACAAATGTGCGTTAGTGCATACACAAATTATCCAAATATAGTAGA